AGCGATTAGGAGGAGGAGGAAGTGGAGGAGAAAACAGAGGAGGAAGTGGAGGAGGAGGAAGCAGAGGAGGAAGCAGATTAGGAAGAGGAGGAGGAGGAAGAGGAGGAGGAAGCAGAGGAAGAAGTGGAGGAGGAAGTGGATTAGGAGGAGGAGGACGAGGAGGACGAGGAAGCGGAGGAGGAAGCAGATTAGGAGGAGGAAGTGGAGGAAGAAGCAGAGGAGGAAGTGGAGGAGGAGGAAGCGGAGGAGGAAGCAGATTAGGAGGAGCAAGTGGATTAGGAGGAGCAAAAGGATTAGGAGGAGCAAGCAGATTAGGAGGAGCAAGCGGATTAGGAGGAGCAAGCGGATTAGGAGGAGAAGGAGGAGGAGGACGAGGAGGAGGAGGACGAGGACGAGGAGGAGGAGGACGGGAGGAGGAGGACGAGGAGGACGAGGAGGAGGAGGACAAGGAGGAGGAGGAGGACGAGGATGAGGAGGAGGAGGGGGGACGAGGATGAGGAGGACGAGGAGGACGAGGAAGATGATGATGATGAGGAGGAGGACGAGGGAGGAGGATGAGGGAGGAGGAAGCGGAGGAGGAGGAGGAAGAGGAGGAGGAAGAGGAGGAAAAGAAGGAGGAAGAGGAGGAAGAAAAGGAGGAGGAAAAGGAGGAGGAGGAGGAAGAAGCGGAGGAGGAAGCAGATTAGGAGGAGGATGAGGAGAAGGACGAGGAGGAAGAGGAGGAGGAAGAGGAGGAGGAAGAGGAGGAGGAAGAGGAGGAGGACGAGGAGGAGGACGAGGAGGAGGACGAGGAGGAGGACAAGGAGGAGGACGAGGAGGAGGACGAGGAGGAGGACGAGGAGGAGGATGAGGAGGATGAGGAGGAGGATGAGGAGGAGGACGAGGAGGACGAATAGGAGGACGAATAGGAGGACGAGGAAGACGAGGAGGATAACAAGGAGGAGGACAAGGAGGAGGACGGGGAGGAGGACGGGGAGGAGGACGAGAAGGAGGACGAGGAGGAGGACGAGGAGGAGGACGAGGAGGAGGACGAGGAGGAGGACGAGGAGGAGGACGAGGAGGAGGACGAGGAGGATGAAGAGGAGGACGAGGAGGAGGGCGAAGAGGACGAGGAGGATGAGGACGAGGAGGAGGACGAGGAGGACGATGAGGAGGACGATGAGGAGGAGGACGAGGAGGAGGACGAGGAGGAGGACGAGGAGGAGGACGAGGAGGACGAGGAATAGTAGGACGAATAGGAGGACGAATAGGAGGACGAATAGGAGGACGAGGAGGAGGACAAGGAGGAGGACAAGGAGGACGACGAGGAGGAGGACAAGGAGGAGGACGAGGAGGAGGACGAAGAGGAGGACAAAGAGGAGGACAAAGAGGAGGACAAAGAGGAGGACAAAGAGGAGGACAAAGAGGAGGACAAAGAGGAGGACAAAGAGGAGGACAAAGAGGACAAAGAGGAGGACAAAGAGGAGGACAAAGAGGAGGACAAAGAGGAGGACAAAGAGGAGGGAGGAGGAAGTGGAGGAGGAAGTGGAGGAGGAAGTGGAGGAGGAAGTGGAGGAGGAAGCAGAGGAGGAAGCAGAGGAGGAAGCAGAGGAGGAAGCAGAGGAGGAATCGGAGGAGGAAGCAGATTAGGAGGAGGAGGAGGAGGACGAGGAGGAGGAGGAAGTGGAGGAGAAAGTGGAGGAAGAGGAGGAGGATGAGGAGGAGGATGAGGAGGAGGATGGGGAGGAGGATGGGGAGGAGGATGGGGACGAGGACGAGGAGGAGGAGGGCGAGGAGGACGAGGGCGAGGAGGAGGAGGACGAGGAGGAGGAGGACGAGGAGGAGGAGGACGACGAGGAGGACGACGAGGAGGACGAGGAGGAGGAGGAGGACGACGAGGAGGAGGACGAGGAGGAGGACGAGGAGGAGGACGAGGAGGAGGACGAGGAGGAGGAGGATGAGGAGGAGGATGAGGAAGACTACGAGGACGAGGAGGAGGACGAGGATTAGGAGGACGAGGT